ATTGTGCACATATACGCCCGAAATGCTTATTAAACATGCATAATAGACAAGTCGCCCCCAGACTATGTTCTGACCACTTTAGAGCATCCCTCCTGTAGAGGGACAGGCCCGACTGAAAGCAAGGCGGCTGCAGAGACGGCGGCGCACGCCCCGAACGCGCGCCGTGCCCCGGCGCGCAGCGGCAGCCGGCGGGCGCACGCCGGCGCGCCCCGCCGCAGAGGCCCAGGACGACGCGGGCGCCGGCAGCACACCGCGCGCGGCCACGGAAGGGCCGCCGCGGGCCCGCCGATCGCCGACCAGGCGCCGGGAGGGGCCGCGCGGGCCCCTTGCTGCGCGGCGGCCGCGGGCGCCCTCCCGGCACCTCGTGGCCGCCGTCGACGTCCGCCGCTGCTGATGACGGCGCTGCGCGGCGGCGCGGCCCACGCACGGCCGCAAAGGGCTCGGCGCGCGGCCCCGCCTGCTGCTCTCAAGGTCGGCCAGCGAGCTGCGGCGGGGCCGTGGCGCCGCCTGGCGTGCTGTGCAGCTCGGCGTCGGCGGGGTGCTGCCGGACCGGGGGCACCAAGGAGGCAGGCTCCCAGCGTCAGACGCAGATCTGCAGGTCGGGCACGCTTGCGGTGCACGGTGTGCACAAAGTGCTCACAGTGCTGCTGCGCACTGGCCACAGGACACCTCCTCCCCGAGATCCGCCTGGCAACCCCCTGTCCGCGACCTCCACTCAATCCCTCCATCTGTTCCCATCTCCATCCCGACTTCCCTTCCGCCATCCATCCCTCCTCCTCCTCCTCCTCCTCCTCCTCCTCCTCCTCCCCCTCCTTCTCATCCTCCTCCTCCTCCTCCTCCTCCTCATCATCATCATCATCATCATCATCATCATCATCATCAACATCCTCATCCGTATCCTCCTCCTCTTCCTTCTCCTCCTCTTCCTTCTCCTCCTCGTCCTCATCCCCTTCCTCCAAATCTTCCTCTTGCTCCTCCCTCCTCGACCACTCCCCATGAGCCTTCTTCGAGGCGGTTCGCTCCAGGACATGCATCCTTCTTGGGCCGTCTTGGGCCGTCTGGAGGCCATCTTGGGCGTCTTGGCGCGATCTTTGGGCGTATCGGGGCCCTCTTGGAGCGTCTTGGGACTCTTTGGGGTTTCTTCGGGTGCTCTTGGGGCCTCCCAGAAGGCTCTCGGAGCCGAGGGCTCGAAATGTCCGTTCGGGTCTCCCGTCCGGGCCCCCTCTTGGAGACGTCTTGCAAGCCTCTTGGGCCGCGTTGGACGCTTCTTGGGCCGTCTTCAGGCCCTCTTGGGCCATCTTGGGGCACTCTTTTGGAGACCCGTGGATGCCTCTTCGGCTGTGTTGGGGCGCTAGTGGGGCCTCTTGGGCCGCCTCGGAGCGTCGGGAAGCCGAAAAGGCGAGGACGCCAACCTCGGCAAAAACCAGTGGAATATCATATGTGCCTCTTGGGAGTACTCTTGAATGCCTCCTGGGGCGCCTTCGAGTCTTCTTGGGCAACCTGGAGGCCATCTGGGGCGTCTTGCACGATCATTGGGCGCCTCGGGGCTGTTGAAGCGTCTTGGGGGCCTCTTGAAGCCTCTTGGGGGCTGCTTGCAGGTCTCTGAGGGCCTCTCGAAGCCGAAGGCTCGAAGTATCTGTTCGGATTCCCCGTCTGGGTACCCTCTTGGAGCCGTCTTTGGAGCCTCTTGGGCCGTCTTGGAGGCCCTCTTGGGCCGTCTTGGGGCCCTCTTGGAGGCCTCTTCGGCTATGGGCGATTTTTGGGGCCTCTTGGGCCGTCTTGGAGTGTCGGGAAGCCGAACAGGCGAGAACGCAAACTTGCGTCAGCGACCATTGGCATTGATGTCTGCCCCTTGGAGCCCTCCCTGGAGTGCTCTCGGAGGCCTCCTGGGATCTCCGCGGTGCTGTCTTCGCAGGACATCTGTTCGAAGGAGGAGGAGGAAGAGGAGGAGGAGGAGGAGGAGGAGGAGGAGGAGGAGGAGGAGGAGGAGGAGGGGGAGGGGGGAGGAGGAGGAGAAGCAGGAGGAGGATGAGGAGGAGGACAAAGAAGAAGAGGAGGAGGAGGAGGAGGAGGAGGAGGAGCAGGAGCAGGAGCAGGAGGAGGAGGAGGAGGAGGAGGAGGGTATCCCCCAGGACACCCCTGGGTCCACCCCAGTTGCTTCAAAAGCTGCGCTCGAGCCGTGGACGCACCCGACGGCTCCCAGGAATACCACCCGGGCCGCAGAGAAACGCCCAGCACGCGTCGGAGATCTCGAGACCTCGAATCCACCTCCTCCCCCCCCTCCTCCTCCTTCGCCTCCTCCTCCTCCTCCTTCTCCTCCTCCTCCCTCCTCCTCCTCCTCCCTCTCCTCCTCCTCCTCTCCTCCTCCTCCTCCTCCTCCTCCTCCTCCTCCTCCTCCTCCTCCTCCTCCTCCTCCTCGGGCCCCGCAGATCCCGACACTGAGATCCTGACGCCGTTGCTTCTCCCTCGCGACGGGCAATGTATCCCAGATTCGGGCCCCAGGGACCTCGCAGATCGAGCTGGCTCGAGACGTGCATCAGAAAGGAATAGAAGAGTGACGTCGAAGGCTCTGGTCGTGTCTTACCGCGGTATTGCTGTTTCCGCCACGTCGGATGTCAAGGAACGTCCTGCTTCAAGCCGCAAGTCCCGCAGATACCTACCTCCATCCCAACAGGGGCAATTTCCAGTCCCCGGTCCATTTCTGATGGCCTGTTCTCTGGGCCCAGTCGGTCCCAGGACCCAGACCAAGACCTCCGACGCCGTGAATGTTCCTGGAAGTCCAGGTCCTTTATAAATGGGCCGTCTTTTCATCCCGAGTCGTTTTTGATACCACCCGAACCCGAAACCGCCCCCCTGAGACCGAAGACCAGCCAAAACCAATTGAGATTAGCCAAGATGTCGGATGTCTGCAGGGACCGAAATGGAGCAACATCGCATGGAGCGAAAGGAAGCAATATTTCCTTAGATTACATCTTCAGTACACCCTGTCTTTCCTATTCGGGACGCTGTTCGCGTTGAACCCACGTCGATTCCATGCCGAAATCGCGTCGAAACCGCGTTGAATCTGTCCAATCCGAGTCTGACACCGCGTCGGGCGCAAGACATGGCCGCCATTTAAAGGATATACCTTTGTCCCTCGAAGATGCAGAGCAACCGCCCGAGACCACGACCAGAGACCATCTTCGCATTCGGGATCCGGCGAAGTACCCACCTGCCTTAGAATTTACGCGTTTGCCCCTTACAGAGAAGCTGTTCAGAGGAAAATGGGATCCACTCGAGAGCCCGGGCCAGAGAAACACTCGTCCGAGGGGAGAAGTGGCTTGGAAACGGCAACACAGCGCCGACATATTGCCAATAGCCTCTGGGTAGCGAAACAGGACTGCGCCTCACGGCGCCAGTGTATCGGGGCAGGCGCCTGGAGGCGGGGCTTGAACCAGCTGCACGCAGCAGATTTCGTAGCCTCCCGGGGCAGCAAAGCAATTATGTCAGCGCTGGGCCCCCGTGAAGTTGGCTGAGTGCCACCGAACCGCCCGAGCTCTGACATGAACGATCAGCCGTGGAACTGCTGCCTCGGGGCCACACTGCGCCAGGCCAACACTCGGGCCTCCTGGCCATCACCGGCAGGGGCTCGGCCATCAACGCTGACCCCCGACGTCGTGAATTTTTCATGACGTCGACCCCCAGCTGTCTGGACCCATTCCCCGGGACCGGTTTTTCGTCCAGAGTCGTTTTTTGACGGTCCCGAGGGCCGGTAAGGGCCCCCAGAGGCCAAAAATAATGAAAAAAAAACCGTCGTGATTTTTTCATAACTCGAGGGGGTCTGGGAACGCTGACCAGACCCTTCTTGCGTCCCCGAGCCAACTTTTCCTCATCCCCCCCCTTTCTTCCGACCCGAGCTCCCCCCTCGCAGGTGCCCCTGACCGCCGCCCCGCCGGCGCCTCCGCACCCCCACAGGGGGGATGGAGGGAGAGAAGAAGAGAGGAGGGAGAGGGAAGATTGGGAAGGAGGGAGGGCGAGGACGGACAGCGAAGGAGGACGGGCGGGAGAAGGGGGGGAGGGGAAAGAGGAGGGGGGAAGGAGTGGGAGGAGGAGGAGGAGGAGGAGAAGGAGGAGGAGGAAGAAGAGGAAGAGGACGTCCAAAGCACCAAGAACCACCATAACAACAAGCGCCCGCGGAGCCCGCTCCCTGTCCCGGATGCAGCGGGGGCGGCCCCGGAGCCCGACCACGGCCCCCAAGAGGGCCAGAGCATCGTCGGAAAACGCCCGGATCGACGAAGGCAAGCGGTGGGAGATCTGAGCCCCGACCCCCCCCCCCTGGAGTCAGAGGGGGGCCCCCAGCGACGTGGTCGGGCCCCCAAAAGGGCCAGCATCGTCGGAAAACGCCCAGATCGACAAAGGCAAGCGGTGGGAGATCTGAGCCCCGACCCCCCCCCTCTCTGACTCCAGATCCGCCCTACTTTGGCTTTTTCTTCCAACTTAAAATGGCGTCGGAAGTCCACCTAGAAGTAGCCGCAGAAGTAGGGCGGACATTTCTGCACCCAACATAGGATGGGGCGAACATCCACAGAAGGAGGGCGGAAACAACAACAGAAAAGTAGGGCGGAAATTGGCATCAGCGGGGCTTGAAAAGTAAGGCGGAAATTCCAAGCCCTACCTACGAATTTCCCCAAAGCAGGGCGGATCCGGAGTCAGGGGATCCCCCTGTTCCCAGTTGTGCTGGTTCCGGGCCGATTTTTCGGTGGGCGGCGGGGCTCCCGCGCTCTCGGGTTCCGGGGCTCCTGGCCGATCTCCTTGTCGATCGGCCTCATCATCGATCCCATGACCCGCCTCGCAATGGATCTCACGATCGATCTCACGAGCGACCTCACGATCGATCTCACGATCGATCTCACTATAGATCGCACGAGCGATCTCACTATAGATCGCACAATAGATCTCCCCTCCCGCCCGAAAGTCCCCCCTTCGCCGTTGCCCCCGGGCGCGCCGCGCCCCGCCGGCGCCTGCCGCCCTCGGCCCGGCGCGCGCCATCCAGCTGCTCGCCCTGCGGGTGCGCCGCGGCCGCGGCCCGGCGCCCGTCCTCGCGCGCGGGCGGAGGGGCCACCCGCAGAAGTGCCCCGCCTGCAGTACGAGACCTGTGTTGCATCACAGCAGCAATTCGGCCCCTGGCTTTCGTCCTGGGCTCGGTTTAGTGAAGTGATGAATTTCGGGGTCCTTACGTGGGGAAAAACATCATTTCACTAATATGGGGCCCCTGTGGCGTCAGTGGGCCCTGGGGCCCAAAATTAGTGAAGTGATGGTTTTTGGGCCTCGGATGCAGCGCCAGCAGGAGGGGTCGCTGGCGCGAGAAGGCAGAGGGGGGCTCTGAGAACTCGGGGGCCTTCTGCGAAGAACCCAGAAGGGTGTCTAAGAATGTTGCTCAGATGCCGCTAGGGGCCCTTCTTCGTGGGAGGCCCTCGCATTCGGAGAAGAGCCCCTTCATCCTGCATCACCATACATGCATCGAGGCCCCTTGCACACAGTGCGTCGCCAAGTTGAGAATGACTGCTAAGTGCTATGGGGCGTACGTCCACAACGTCGTAATTATTCGAACGATACGGTTAAGCGTTTGTGCGCAAACACCTGCGACAATAAACATCAAACAAATACTATACTTGCACAAAGGTAAGTGCGCCAAGTGCATTCAGTTGTACTTCGTGGCTCAACACATCGCTGCACGCGCGCACAAACACCATGTTACTCAGTGCCTGACCGCCCATGTATCATGTGAGTACTAGACTTGCATAGCGGCATGGCGTCCCAAGGGCCTCGTCGCGATTCCGGGGATCGGCACCGTGTCCCAGACCCTCTCCAGGACCTCTTTGCAATTGCGATGCTGAGATCTGAGTGGGATCGAGATTCAGTCGCGCTTGCCCACTAAGCCAATGGACACGCACATCTCGCAAATGGCGGTGCCTCCGGAAGAGCGGCCTTTCGGTGAAGTGACGTATGGGGTCTTCAGTGGAGCTCCCTGCGGTGTGTGTGTGTGTGTGTGTGACGACAGGTGCGAGGGGTGTGCCGCGCGAGGGGCGTTCAATTTCCAGCGGCGTGCATTCTGGAGCTTCCGCAGATCACTGCACTTTGCAGTCGGGTGGGCCCGCTAGACCTGCAGAGTTGGAGGCCCAGCGGCCGCCGTCGAGAGTTATGGGCAGCGCGTCGAGCTTGGAAAGTGCGCATGCCGCCGTGGACGAACCGAAGGACCCTCGACCCCCCCGAGGCCCGCAAAAAAACATCCGCGGCACTTCGGGCGTCTCCAAGGGCCCCCGCAAGCCCCAAGAGGCCTCGCGAGGCACCCAGAGGCCCCCCCCTAAGAAACGCCATGCAGGGTCTCCTCTTCCTCCCCCCCGCCTCCTCCCCCCCCCTCCCCCTCCCACTCCTCCCCGTGCCCCTGCTCCCCCGCGAACCTCTCTCCAAGGGCGGCGTCCAGAGCGGGCCTGGAGAGGCGCAGGGGGCGAAGGCGGACGCTGGCTTGCTGCCACCCCTGCGAGCAGTCAGCAGCTCTCTCGCTGCCAAGGGCCACCGCAGGCCAGCGACACGGCGCGAGACAGACGGGGACCACGTGAAGAGGGGCACCCCTGGCCGCGGAGCCCGCCAACGAGCTGCAGCGCTGCCGGCAATCCTCGCCTGGCCAGGGCGCCCAGCTGCGTGGATGGGGCCTGCCCGGCCGGCCCGCCGAATGCCGAAGCCGACGAGGCTCCGGGGCCGCCACGGCAAGCGCAGCGGGTTCTCTGCGCCTGCCGTCGGCCCGCAGTGCGGGCAGCAACCCAGAAGCCCGTCAGCGCACGTACGAAGAGCCGCTGCGTCTGCCCGGCGGCATGGACATGCCATGCACGGCGGCACCAACTAGATTCCTCCACGCTGCTCGATGCTTCCAGCGCGACCACCACGGCCACGCAGCGCGCTTGAGCCTGCCACCCTGTGCCGCGCGGCCATCGGCGGTTCCACTATACACTCCTCGCCTGATGTCCGCGTCCCTCCATTTCGGGGCACTCTGAGCTTTTTTTCTTGTGATCAACAGGCTGGCAGCAACGCAATTGCATGCGCAGCCGCCCCCAGCTTAGATCGCAGAGCGCACGTCGAGCACGTCATCACCGCGGCTTTTCGGCGGCGCCCTAGACGCCAGAAGCTAGAGCACGCAACCCAGCAAGTACGCAACTACACCGAACCACAACGCGCGTAGCTCAGCCGCTTCTAAATGCAAACCGAAAGAACAAGAACCGCTTTGGAGGCGAGGAGGAGGAGGAGGAGGAGGAGGAGGAGGAGGAGGAGGAGGAGGAGGAGGAGGAGGAGGAGGAGGGAGGAGGAGGAGGAGGGAGGAGGAGGAGGAGGAGGAGGAGGAGGAGGAGGAGGAGGAGGGCTGTGCAAGCGCCCCGCGCTGAGCCCTCGCCACTACTGTTCACGGTGCTTGGCTCTTCCATCTACAGCTGGCACCAGTGATGGGCTTTCCGTTACCACCACCATAAGTTGGAGGGGGGAAGGATGGGGAAGAGGAGCAGGAGGAGGAGGAGGAGGAGGAGGAGGAGGAGGAGGAGGAGGAGGAGGAGGAGCTGCGGTGGACTGAGGGGGCGGATCCATCCTCGCCGCGGCCGCGGCGGGGCTCCTTAGTAGGGTTCGCGCACCATGCCGAAGGACGCGGCGACGACTTGGGTAATGTTCGGCGTGTCGAACTCCGTAGCGTCGCTGGTGTGGTGCGGCTCGGGGATGCAGTAAGGCACCTGCGGAGTTGTCACCATGTCTTCGTTGTTCGGAGGGATAGCCATCGGGGCGAAGAAACTGCGTGGCATGGGCCGCCCAACTACCACTGCAGAAGGAACGTCAGGAGCATCAGGAACACCAGGCGCAGCATTATGGAGTGCTTGCGACGAGGCGTCGGATTCGTGAATGTAGTCGTGGCCGTGGATGGCGGCAGAGAGAGACGTGGGCTCAGCAGCAGATCGTCCGAGCAAGCCGTCAAGTAGTGGAGATGCGTCATCAGTCGTGGGAGTAGGCCTCAGGGGAGGGGTGCCGACGGGTACTCGGGGCAGAGCGTCAGGATGAATGCGGGCCGAGGGTGGCAATGTAGTGGGGGATTCGCCGTGTCGTAGGCGATCACGCGCCGCCCGCAGCGCCCGAAGATGCGCGTCCTAGGAGGAGGTGTTACGGGGTGCCGCCGGCTGGTTTCGGAGCTCCAGAACCACATAGTCGGACAACACCAGCCTGGAGACCGTGTTCGGCATGGAACGCTCGCGTCGGGGATCGTCAGGGTAGTCGGGACGTTCGCCAAGGCCCAACCGCGCGAGTGAGGTGGCGTGGGTGAAGGTGCGAGGGAGGCACGTGAGGTGCAACAATCGTGGGCACGCCAGGTCGTGCCCGATGGCATCAGCGCCAACGCACCCTAGAGCACAACTGCGGCGATCCGGGTGCACATGCATCCTGTGCGAGGTGCGCCGGCCGCCAGTGACCGTCTTGAGTACTGCCCACCGCCGCGCAGGCGAGATCTCACAGAGATGACCACGAAGCCGAAGCCAACGATCGGGAAGGTCATGCGGCACAACAGCAGCACCATACCAAGCGGCGATCCGCTTCGCTATCGTGCACCAAAGCCGATCGGGGTGAGCCTGAATAGTGAGAGCGTGTTGCACGAGCCTTTGCGGACGTGGTCGGAAGCCGCCCGCCCTCTCGTCCTGGAGCTGTGTCTGCACTTCTCGGACAGTGGCGCGCAAGGACGACGAGTTCACCTTAACGGGCAACGTCGCGCGTCCATATTGGGCCTGCGCGAACCTCTGCACAATTGACAAAGGCTGTTGCCAAAAGGGTGGTGACCATGAACCCTCGATGCATGCCACAACCGGTAGGTGTTCCATCGCACTGTCTTGAAGGGCTTGATGAAGGAACTGCCAATTGGTGATCGTGCAGGTTGCCGCGCGCCACAGGGACGCGAAGTTGCACGGGCCCAGCCCGCGCGCAGCCGGGACGGCGACCAGGTAGATGACGAAAGTAAGTCCGCGAGGCGCATGGTGTTCGCAGGCAGCCGTAGGACGCGATGAAGAGCATGGATTTCCCAACGGAATACCTCAGCAGGGAGCTCGATGAGCTGCACGAGGCATCTGAAGACCGTGATGCACGAAACCTGGTAGAGCCGTGCCAAAACATCCGTTGGGGCACCCGTGGTTGAGAGGGCAACGATGCGCTCCCACCATTTTCCTGCTGGGGCCTGCCATTGTAGTTGCGCGGTCGCCTCTGGGCCAATCTCGGCCCCAAGGTACGAGCCATGCCCTTGGACGCTGAAGTGCTGCCACGCCGGGAGGTGAGCAGCGAGATGCTCACGGACTTCCAGCTGGACTTGCGGGGTCGTCGTAGTCCAGAGGGGTATGATGATGCACTTCTTGGGGTGCAGGCGTAGGTGCCCGTAGTCGGAAGAAGCGCCGAAAATGGAGTGCAGCGGCGGTAGGTCGTCGAGACGGTTGAGGTGCAGGCCAATATCATCAGCGCATGCAGCTGCCGTGCCAGTATCAGCGGTGCCAAGCTGCGCGTCCAGAGCGCGAAGAACCACGTCCATGGCGATGGCCCAAACAGCGCCGGACAACAGGGGACAGCCTGGGGCGACGCCCGCAGCAAGTGGGCAGATGTAGTGGTAACCCCCATCAAGCAGGACGACGCCGTGGGAGTCGCGGTAAAGGGCTGAGACCGCATTCATGAAGCCCTGGTCGTAGCAGAAGTTTGAGTGATGTGAACAACCAGTCTCTGCCGAGGGACGGAAAAGCCGCCGCAATGTCGAACAATACTTGGACGGGGCGCCGCTCGCCTGCGTCAGGGGGGAGTCGAGCGGCGCGCCCGAGCGCGTCCATGACGACGAAGTTGCGGCAGAAATTGCGGCCGCGAGTGAATCCCTGTTGGATGTCGTGCGCGTGTTCCTCCACAGGTAAACGCACCTGCTCGTTGAGAGCAAACGCGAAGAGCTTGCTGCCCGTGTTCTTGCGGGGGAGCGGGCGCAGCCCGTCGGGGGCACGCGCGCAGACCGTAGTATCGTCGTCCTCAGTGCCCTTCGGTATGAAGGAGAAT